GCAGGAGTCATCTGCCATCCCATAATGCTGCCTCTGACATGCGTGGGGAGCTATCTTAAAAGCTTGCTCCCCACTCACACCAGCTTAAAAGTTGTCTCCCTACATCAGAGGTGGGCAAGAGGCTGCCAGGGGCTGAATCCGGCCTGCCAAGCCACTGGATCCAGCCCGCGGCCGCCTCCGCCTGCCAAGCCACTGGATCCAGCCCGCGGCTGCCTCACCGGAACCCTTAGGCAGAGAACAGCTCACACTTTAAAAAGCCAGCTGTTCTACCTGCCGGATGGCTTGGGAGGGAGGAGGGAGACTTCTCATGCTGTTCCCGCCCCCCAGCAAAATCTCATAGCTCCCATTGGCCAATCTCTCAGTTTCTGGCCAGTAGGAACTGAGAATTGTTGCTGGGAGCAGGGGCAGTGTAAAAAGCCTTCTTCCTCCTCATCTGCCCTCCTTCTCCCCCTCCCTCTCATGCCCAGAGTGGAGCCATGTGGAGCAGCGAGCAGTCTGCCTCAGGTTTCTGCTGGTAAGCACCTCCCAGCCAAAGCCTGCCTCTGGCACTCCAGCCCCCCCTTCCCCAACCCTCTGCTCCCTTCTCCCCCACACCCGCTCCTAGATTTGGCACCCCAATCTCTTGCCCCAGATGACAATCCCCTCCTACCCTAGGTCACATCCCAAAGCCCTGCATCCCAATCCTCTGCCCTAGGTCACAGCTGCCTCCTTTACTCAAACTCCCTCCCAGACCCCATTCTCCCTCCTGCGCCCCAGTCCCTTACCCCAAGCTCCCTTCTGCATTCCAGACCTCAGAATTCCTCCATTAATATTCTAGAAGAGTGCAGCCCTCGACTACTTTCCAAAACCTTGGAGTGGCCCCCCATTAAAAATTATTGTCCACCCCTGCCCTACATGCACTGGCTCCCAAGGAGCTGCTCACCATCCAGTGCTGTGCCTCTGATACAGCAGCAGCAGTGCAGGGTGGCAACCTGCTCCTGGAGAGCCAGCTGAGGTGCGTGTAACTGCTGAGTTTACACAATTACCTGCATTTTAACATCACTACACAGTATCACTCTGGGAACGAATGTTTATGACCCAGGCTTCTCACGCTCCTGTCCTCTGTGCTGTAAAAACACCCCATGTGACCTTAAGTAACTCTCAGGGTACGTCTACACTACAGAGATAGTTCGAACTAACTTAGTTCGAATTAGTTAATTTGAACTAAGCTAATTCGAACTAACGCGTCTAGAACTAAAAACTAGTTCGAATTAGCGTTTTGCTAATTCGAACTAGCATGTCCACATTGAGTGGACCCTGAACAGGGCTTAAGGATGGCCGGAAGCAGTGCCGGCAGGGCATCAGATGAGGACTTAGAGCGTGGAGCTGCTGCCTCAGGCTAGCCGAGGGCTGTGCTTAAAGGGACCCCCACCCCGGACAGACAGTTCTCAGGGGTGCCCCGCTTGCAAAGCAGTCCTGGCTTGGATTGCCCGGAGTGCCCACACTGGGCACATCACAGCACTCGGCCATCAGACCGACTGCACTTGCCGCAGGCTGCCATCTGGGGAGAGGGGGCAATTGGAGGACTGCAGGAGAGCTTCCACCCCCAGAAGCCCGCAGAGCCAGCCCAGTCCTCCCCATCGGGGGCTCGTACCCCATTCCTCCCTCACCTCCTTCCACTTACCCTTCCCTAGCCCCCCTTCCTCATGTACAAAATAAAGAAAACGTGTGGTCAAAAATAGAA